TGGGGGGCAGCCCTACCCACAGCAGGGGATTGGAACTGGCTTTAAGGTCCCTTCCAACCCAAACTCTTCTATGATTTTATGACCTCCTACCCAGTCATCAGCAGTACATTCTCTGCCCTGTGATCCACAGCACTCCTGCTTCACCACGTCTGATCAGTTTGTCCTTTGTTGTTTATAGCAGGGGACATTTTGTAGAAACAGCTGTGTAATTTGTCATTAACCCTCCTCAGAACTAAGGGAACTTAATGACTCCAAGGCTGCTGTTCAGAGAATGATGCAAGTTGCTCTGGCTGTGCTCAGCTAGCCATGGGTAGTGCTCAGTGGGAGATCGTGGGGAGGACATATTAATGGAGGTGTTGAACTTGCCTTTCAAACTGTATTTACTTGCTCTGGGGCAAATTCTTTACATAATGTAGTTAAAATCATCTGAAAACAATCTAAAAGGCCAGCTGTTTTTTTTTTTTGTTTGTTTTTTCCTCTGGCAAAGTAACAAAGTGGTGTTCTTGCACATCCTCAACCTGATATATGTGGCAGACACGGTTGTAGATACAAATCAGGACCAAAGTAAAGCTTTCTTGATGAGATAAGTAGTTCCCTGCCATTATCCTCATCTCTCCCTCTCACCCACTGATGCAACTGTGATTCAGAAGTCAGCCTCATTTACTTGGGTGCTGCCCCTTCTGTTCCCAGACCTGCCTGTGTGTGCCACTTCAGGGACAAGCTTGGAAAGCCAAATGCTTCTCAAGATTGCAGCACAGATTCTTTGCCTCCTATGTTCTGGCCTTGATTTGCAGGACAATATATGCATGTCTTTCCTTAGCAAAGCCTGGTTTAATTGTTTTCTGAAAGGTAAAATATACACTTGTTCTGATAGCTGACAACACAGACAATATTTAGCAACAATAGCAAGTTGAAGCCAGGCCTTCTGTCTTTTCAGCTTAATGGGAGAAATAGCCTCGTTGTTTATAGAGTGCATTCCACCCTTGTTTTCTCTGTGTTGTTGTTGTTCTGAGAACACCAGGATCCTGTAGCGTGTCCTCACATTATTTCCCTGCAGCATGAGGAGCCTTGCTGAGTTCCATTCTGCTCTGGCCTGGCCCGTGGGAGCATGAACTGCATGAATGCCTTTCTTGCAGTGAAGAAAGAGATCGTGGTCCCTGCAGTTGTGTGCCATGTTCTTTTACTTGGATTCCTTTGGAGCAGTTCTGTGCTATACACCACCTGCTGTGCACCTTCCTACCTAAAACTGTGCTAAACCTCAAAGTTTCTTTGCACCTTCTGTCAGAAACAGGCAGACGTGCTCCAGGGGAACGGAAGATGATTTATTTGCAGCTCACTGACCTTATTTCATGCCTAGTCCACGCACATGCACTTGTTAGTATGAGTTTTGGACCAGCATGTGCTGACTGCTCAAAACAGCACATACTGCCCTAAATGACTTGCTTTGTTTGCTCACTTTGCAGCTGTGATCTCTAACACACTCCTTCCCTCCTTCCACATATTGGTCTAATTGTACCTCATTCCTTTTGCCATGCTGTGTTCAGGCGGTGCACGTACCTTGCAGCTGCTTAACCAAGAGCAAAAGGCTGACCGAGAGGGCATGGAGCCAAGGGTTCATATTCAGCATCAACCCATTCAAATGGATGTTGTTTGAAATAACACTTTGATTTTATTTATCTTCCCGTCCCTCCTCCCCCATCATAATTCCTTTGCTTGAGTTCAGGGAAATCAGCAAGAATGGAGGAACACTTCTGAAACCCAGCAGGCAGTGCCCTCTGGATGTCTGTGTACATTGCAAAGCCATCAGTCATTTAGTTGTTGACTCAAAGTTATTCTGGTTTTCCAGTGTGCTTGTTCCCTGTTGATTTGTAGCCACAGATGGTAAAAGTAAATTTTACACTTCTCAGAGTGTAGTTTTTTTTCCCCCAGATTTTATTCCTTCGCTGTCTTTTGTGGTTTGTTTTGACTTTTAATTTCCTTGGGGGATGCTTTACATATGGAGAAGGTAGTGCTCAAAGAATGAATTGTGCCCTGATTTCTCAAAGTTGCTTCTGATAGTGCTAGTGTTGATTTTTGTTGTTTCTGACTAAAGCAGAGGATGGTGTAATCTGGGGAGCAACAGAACTGGGAGGGGAAGCTTTAGCAAGTGCTCTTCTGGGACGTAGCTGTGTGGGGTGAGTGCTCAGTGGAGTTTCTTGGAGTTGGAGTACAAATGGAACCATATGGGATGGGTTAGAAGCATGAGGGGAATGAAGAAATAAAGCCTATTGCTTGTACTTATAACAGGCGGTGGTTAAGTTGGAAGAGTGATCTGTAAGTAATTTTGCCTCTTGCTATGGATGTATGGAATTGTGTGAAGGCTTGATTAATGTGTGTGTAGTCTTGCCACCACACCACTCGTATTTACCACCTCCTGAGCACCAGCATTTGTGCCATGTAAGTATGTTCATACTATCTATTCTTAATCCCCTATTAGTGCTGTGATCAGAGCTCTCCCAGAACCTTTTGGTCATCGGGTCCAATGACTGCCGGGCACCAGCCGTGTTTAGAATCATAGAATCATCAGGGCTGGAAATGACCACAAAGATCACCAAGTCTGACCACTAACCCATCCTCACTGTGTCTCTTAGTACCACATCTAAAGGTTTCTTGGAAACCTCCAGGGATGGTGACTGTACCACCTCTCCGGGCAGTCTGTGCCACTGCGTCACCACTCTTTCTGAGAAGAAGTTTCCTGATATCCAACCTGAAACTTCTCGGTGCAACTTGAGGCCATTCCATCTTGTCCTGTCACTGTTATCAGGGAGAAGATGCCAACCTCCACCTCTTTTTATGTCACTGTAGAGAGGAACAAGGTCACCCTTGAGCCCCCTTCATTCTCTGGCCTGGACAAAGGAGTAAATGCATGTATTATTGCAGAACCTGCTCACTCCTGTTGACCCTTTTTAGGCTATAAAATATAATTTTTTGTAAGCCCTCTTACACCTTCTTACCTTGAGAGGGTAGTGCAAACATAAGCAGGACTCTTTAAAATATAAAGCTTACTCTTTAACATCTTTTTTCTGTGAGCCAAGTACTGCTTGCTGAATCTCTGCTGGTGACCTGTGAAACAAACAAGCAAAAAACCTGCAACTGTTTCTGTGTAAAGTGACCAGCTGATAAGCAGTGATCACCTGATTGTTGCACAGGGCTGTTGTTGTGCAATGCACAACTCTCCCCTTAGCAGAACTGGGCTGGCAGGACTAGATGGGGCTGGTGAGCTGCAGTTCCTTGCCGGGGCTTGAAATGCTTCCAACTGCCAGGTGGGACAATCCAGCATGAACTTCTGGCTGGAGTGAGAAACCTACTTGGAAAAAAACTCTTTTTATAACTGGGATAAATATGAGGTAAGCAGGAAGAGTGCATTGGGAAGCACGTGGCACTTCCTCATAGAACTTACAGAGTGACTAGGGATGCTGAATTTGATGCACTGCAACTTATGGTCAAGATTTGTTCCTACCTTTGACTTATTGGCAGCCCAGCATAGTCTGGAATAGCTGTTGATGTTTCACTCTTTTGCAGGGAGGGTAGTTTTTTGAGTTTAAACTTCTGTTACCCTGGTCAGGACTTTGGAAACTGGAGTAAAGAGAAAACGCAGGAAATTTCATTAAGGCATCAAAATGTCACAATCTAGAATTAGTCATAAATATTATCATGGGCTTTCCTGGTTCGTGGGTGGAGGGCTCTAATGCAAGTTCTTGAATACCCAAATGTGGCTGGGACTAGAGTTCAGAGCTCAAGGTAAACCTTGCATGTGTGGTGGAATCGAGATTGTGGGCTTGTTGGATTGTTGGATGCTTTCTGCTGTGCTTATTTATACCATTCACACATGCAGCTCATCCTCTGTGCTATGGTCTGCTTGTGTCTTCAAATGCAGTAGTTGTGTGCACCTCTGAGACATCAGGCAAAGTTGCATCGTGACACTTCTTGAAGCACGTGATATGTCTTATCATAACTGTGGGATGAGGACAAACTTTTGTTTTAGGGGTGAGAAAGAGAGTTGCCTTTAAAAGCTACTTAGGGAAGAAGTCAACATTTAGTCTGGTTCAGGCTATTCATATAAAACTTGGGGGGGGGGGAAATGGAAACAACCAGTGAGTCCAGGTAGAAGCTGATGATCTGCTCCGAAGTCTAATGGGAGCTGCTCCGTGACTGTAAGGATGAGATCCCATCTGCTGGGACTCTCTTGTGTGCATTGGTAACAAAGAAGAGGCATTGCCTATTAGTTGCTTTGTGTGGAGAAGAGGAGCCTTGCAATGGGTGTGAATCTCCTTCAGCAATAGCTGGCGTGTCTTACAGTATGAATTACTGGCTCTTGCTTGTTTTGAATCAACAATTTTGGCCATCAGCAGGAAAATCAAAGCAGGAATGAACCAATCCTGATGCCTGATTGTGATTGACTTGGCACTAAGGCAGGGCTGGGTTCTGGGGACAGATGAAGGATTCCAGACTGAGTCCAAAGGCACCGTGTCTGTGCTGCTATGGGCGTTAAGTTTGGCTTTGTACATTCTGAGTATTTGACAACAGACAGATAAACTCTGCCAGCTGAAATCAGAGCAATAGGTAGCAAAGCTCTTCCTGCTCTTTGTGGAGATGTTGACTGTAGAAGATAAATTTCACATCCTTAAAAATTTTTCACCTTTGAATGTTAAGGAAAATAAAGAAATAAAGTGTAACTTTAGTTATACTTTTAGCTTTCGAGTTGAGTTGTTCTCTATTGGAGTCCGAGAAAGGGAGAGCAAGGCGCTGTGTTTCCAAAGAAAGACACTGAACTTGGGAATAGGCTTTTCTCTTCCTGCCTCTGCTTCATTGCTTGTGTGTTGTGCAATGATACCAACTTGCCTTTTGTGCTTTTTTTTTTTTTTCTTTCCATTCCTACTGTCAGGATTGTGTTTAGTAAAACCTTTTTTTTTTTCTTCAGCCTTTTCATATAAATCAGTTGTTTTCTTTTTCTTTTGTAGGGATACTGCAGCTGATCTGAAGCTGATATAAGAAGGCATTTCCCTGTACTGCAGCTTCCTGGAAAGAGAGCTGCCTGCAAGGCCAACCCTGAAGATGTGGACTGCTGTTGTATTCTTCCTACTGATCTCCTTCTGTATATGCGAAAACAGATTTTCTGTCCTGAAAGCCAGAGGTGTGCATGTAGTGCAAATAAACAGGCTGACAACTGAAAAGCAATGCAGGCAGGCTTGTAAAGGCCCAGCTGCTTCAGGTAAGGTTCTTGTCCTTGGGCAGGAATTCCAGCTGATTTTTCCCTTCCTTAAAGGTTTCTTCTGCTCCCCTGATAACAACCTTTTTTTTTTTCATAGCTCCAGTTGTTTACAGGCATTTATGAGTATGTCTTCTTTGTGCAGTAGTTTGGTGCTAAATAATTTCTGACAGCTTTGGTTAAATTGAATTCAGAACAATCATTTCCTATGGCCTTTCTAGCTTTTGTAAGAAACAGCATTCATGTGCACTTAGTATGCGCTAGTAGCGTGCAAATGGTGTTAGGTCACTTGACTTGGAGGGTAATTCCATGCTGCCAGATGTGTGCAAGTGAACAGAGCTATAGAGTAGACAGCTGCATTGGAATGAGTAGTCTTTGTTCACTGGTATTCGTGGTTTTGGTTTTTTTTTTCCCCCCTTAGAAATGAGGCGTTAATTATCTTGCTATCAAGCACAGAATTAAACAAGACCAGGGAAGAGCTTTGTGGTGTCTACCTCTGCGATGTCTTTATACTTCTAAAGTAGTCTTCAACTTCTAAACAAGTATTTCAGAGGTGTCCTTGTTAAGGACCCTAACTTATCTAGTCCCATCTAGTGAAAGCTTGTAGCACCTACAGAGAGTCAGTGATGCTGTGGTAGAGATTAGATGGTAAATTAATGTCTGAGATTGATAGGAACATCATAAGGATGCCTTCTTTTAACAACTAGAGTTTTTGAGCTGTTGGCAAGGATCTGCCAGCTGGGGATTCCTGGAGTCCTGATGAGCAAGATGAACCCGTGTTGGAAAGCAAATAAGCTTCTGTTATTCCTTTTGCATCACAGGCCACACTCTAGCACTTTCCCAGGATGTTTCTGTGGTGGTTGGTCCAGGGCTGGGAATCTCGGTGTCTGAACAGCCTGGCTCAGGGAGCAGTGCCACCTGGTCATCATTCTGGGTGAGGGAAAATACAATGTGTCTGCAAGAGCAAATATTCCTGCTCCCTGCTTCTCCAGTACTTGGTTTAATACAGAAACCAGTATTTGGTTTCTGCTTGCCTTTGAGGATCTGTGATTTCTTTCCAGTGATAGCAGATTTAAAAATGAAATAAACCACTTTTGTATGGCGTGATCTTGATGTTTGTTGCCTACTTGCTTTCCTTTCAAAATGGCTCTGTACAGCTTTTGTTGTCCCTCCGGTTTCTGCTGCTTTTTCTACCTGAGGCCTCCTAATTGGAAGTGAGCAAAGAGGAGTGACTCGGGGGCAAGAGTCTTGCATTGGAAACATCAGATGGAGCCTCGGTCTCCAGCTTCAGGTTCTCGTTGAGGGGAGCACCCATCAGTCCACTTCTGTAGGAGTACTTTGCTGTCCTGGGGCAGCTGGATGCATTTCTGATGGTAGCAGAAGTCAGAGTGCTATAACAGTGCTGACCCCTCCATCCTTTTCTGAACTATTTTGAACTGATTTAAACTGACTTAGATACGTACTAATGCAAAGTATGGTGATGGCTTTTTGTTCACCCAAGAAGCAAGAAATGATTCAACTTCCAATGGTAGATGGTCTGTGATTCTCTCCTAGCATAATTTATCAAGAGAGGAACAGAAGGTGAGATTGGGAAATGGCACATTCAGCTGTAGGTACAGGGATTTCTTCAAGCTCATAATTTTTCTCCAAATTCTTCTGGTAACAGTGGTAGTGTAAATGTTTTATTACGAAAACTTCAAGCCTCTGATATCCTTAATATTCTCAGTGAAGATAACTCTCCTGGTAGATAAGAGCTTTAAATGCCATATGTACCACATGTGCCTGTTCTTTGCCCTTTCTTACACTTCTAATAGAACACAGAAATGACCTGCTGCTACTACTGTACATTTAAGTTCTCTTTAATCTGCTGATGAGTGGTCAGTTGGTGATGATTCATCACAAACTGAGTGTTCTGTTATCTTCTCCTGTGGCTGCTTGTTACAACAGGCGATATTTCCCAGTCCCTGAAATGAACCGCTTGGTAGGTGATATTAACATAGAATTGCAGCATAGCTAAGTCACCAAGGGATCTGTTGAATGTATCTGTGGTCCAAAGCCATGTCAAAGCAGAACCAGCGTAGATCAGGCTGCTCAAGGACTAATGGAGGGTATATAAGCTCCCAGGCTTCCAGCCCAGCAGTTGACTAGCCTCTCCTGGCTAGTGGTATCGTGCGTGGTTCAGCAGCTAAGGAATAAATTTCTTTGCAACTTCAAGCGCTGAGACGAGAGCCATCTCCTGTGGGTGACAGATGTCATCTCAGCTGCAACTCGCTTTTTCTTTTTTTTTTCTTCATTAAGACATCTAGTTGGATGCTAGCATTTAAATGGGATCTGGGCAAGCTTTTGAAGAATCTGACTTTAGGTGAAGTCTGTTCTGGCCTGAAGGATTTTGAGGGTTCTATGTGTGTTTTACCAGGACTATTAACCAATTACCTGTCTCCTGCTGTTTTTAGGTAACCATCAGTGCAACTGGTCTGTGTCCTACCAGAGTCACTGCGTCCTCTTGCGGTGTGACCGGCTAAGTGTGTGCCAGAATGCTGGAGACCAAGACATCAGAGATCTGCTGGGAGGTAATGCTGTACTTCAAACTCTTACTAAATCCAAGATCTGATCCTTTTGCCTTAAATTAAGACCATCACTGGCAAGAGAGATGGGTTGTGAAAATACCTGCATAATGATTCTGTAAACTGGAAGAATTGTTATACTTGTAACAGCTCTGGCACTTATGTGTGCATGATGGGTAACTTTTATTGGCCTCTCTATTTTAAAGGCATGATTCATTCAGGCCATTTGCATTCCACACTCTGTCCTTTGAAAAATAAAGGCATAACAGATGTACTTGCTTGGTTTTTTTTTAAGAGGAAGAGAAAATATTTTGGCATTGTTTTTTTCTTTTTTTTTTCCTGGAATTGCCAGGATTTTTGTGCCAGAGGCTGCTTGTACAATCAGCACAGCCTTAGTAACATTGCAGTTTCAAGGCAGAAAGTTGAAAAGTCACCTCAAGCATGTGTGAGTAAGGTCAGATTTGGGCTTCAGAATTTTATTTTTAGGGAACTCATTGTTTCTTTCTCTTTAAAGAAGTTGTCTTCGGGGAAACTCTCCTGTTTCACCACCAAAGCTATCAACAGGAAAAAAAGAGGTCAGTAAATGCACAGGTTGAACAGCGCAACAGAGAAAACCTGTTTTTTTCAACCACTCAGGCTTACAGGATACGCTTGAGGCATTTGCTTGCTGCTGACTCAGCAAATACAGGAGCAACAACAGCTGCAAGCAACAGTACCACCACAGCAGTGACTGCCAGCACTACCACAGTCGTATCGACTAGCACAAGTATGACTGTTCTCACTGCGACTTCTGAAACAACTACCAAAGCTTCCAGTGCCTCTGGAAGTCTCCCGACTACAGTCGTGTCATCCACTGTCTTTTCTCCCTCTCCTGTTAATGTTACTGCTTCCACTTCCAGCAACATCACCGAGCTTCCGATCACCACTGAAAACTTAGGAAATAGTAGCTTTGGTTCAGTACTGCCTCCTTCTTCCACTTCTACTTCTCCCCTTGCTGCCACTTCTGAAGCAGGTACGAGTGAAACACAGCAGTTTAACCCAGCGAGCACATCCCGCTCCAGTAGTCTCACTTCTGTTGAAGTTGGGCTGAAGACACCAAGCCCACCATTAAACACCTCCACCCAGCAGGATGCCCAGACCTCTGCTGCACTCACCCCCTCTGTGAGTCCACATTCTGTGAAGCCAACAGCTGTAACATTGCCAAAAACAAGTAAAGCCTCGACATTCTTGAGTGAATCATCTTCTTTTCAGGGTTCTACCAAAGGTGCCACAGTTTTAACTATTGGCCCTACATCAGAAGCTATGACTGAGCATGGAATAAGGTCGACATTTCACGTTCCCTCTACTAAGCATACAACCACAGCTCCAGCAAACGCACCTGGTACAACAGCATTGAGCATTGCAGAGACTCAGGGCACAAACAGTGAATATCTTCTCATCGCTGCTGAGCCTCTGACTCAGTACTTAGTGGATAAGAGTTTGCTTCTTGCAGTGCTTTTATTTGGTACTTTTTTTTTAATAACTGTTATAGTTCTTTTTCTCATGCAGGCTTATGAAAGTTACAAAAAGAAAGATTATACGCAAGTGGATTACCTGATCAATGGAATGTATGTGGACTCAGAGATGTGAAAGGGTGGGGATAAAGTAATGGGTAAGAGAGAGGGAAAGGAGACTGAAAACCTACCCAACTTTGTCTTTCCCATTTGCCTATCACACAAACTGAAAGTGCTTCCAAAGTTACTTCTGGTGCAATTTAGGAGAAATGCCATGTACTGTAGTAAGAAAAAAATATATATATATATATATTTTTTATTCAACTGCAAGAGATTGCTTTAAGAATAGCCATTCTTAAAACTTTTCCATAATGCACAATAGTTTTGGCCATTATTTTTCATTGCAAAGCTAACCTATCAAGAGGTAAGACGACGTCCTCTGAAAATGACGTGGTGCTTTTTGCACTGTTAGAGCGCGAGTTCATCATGTTTCATTGGCTTCGTGTGCTCCTCTCTGGAAATGAAGTGAAGGATGCTCCCAGCTCTTACAAAATGCTCTGACATCACTAGATGAGAAGTGTGGAGTATTGCCACAACAGGGAGCTTCTAATCCAATGTCATGTTTCGGTACGCTTCTTGCTTATTAAGAGGTCTGTTTACAAGGCATTGTAAACACTGTTCACTGCTAACCCAAGATATCTTTTCACCATGGAGCAGATTACTGTGCCTCTACATTTACATGATCTTATTTTTGTATTCATTCAATAAATGGGGCTCTGGAAGGGCATATCTTGTTGCATTTCTGTTTTCATTCCTGTCCTTGCCAGCTTAGCAGCAGACAAGTGGCCTTTTGGGGCGTATGCAGATGAGCTCTGCTTGAATGTTCCAACTACAAGGTCTTAGAAGGCTGCACTGGAGGTGTGACCATGTCATGGAAAATGCTGATCGTCTTTCCAAGTATGGCTTCTGTTCTTTCAGAGTGTTATGCTGCCATTCACCCAGGTATGCAGACACATTTAGTGTGCTTATTAATTGCTGTGAATGGAGCATCAAGCTTTCTCATTCTTGCATTCTGGACCAGCTTAGAGTCACCGATCATCTGGAACTCTTACTGCACCTGTACACACAGCTGATCTCAGACCTGCAGTTGAGAGAGAGTAGAAAGCACTTGATTTTTCAGCAAACATTCTTCAGTGTTTAATTTCATTCTTATTTGAGTGTGGTGTGTATTCTGCTAGCAAAACACGAGATCAGTGTGCGCTGTATTTCTTTTAACTGGACTGATGCATCCGATGCAGTGTTGGGAACGTCCCTCAGTATAGCTTGGGAATTGAAGCCAGTTGAGATGCCTGGGAGTCAGCACGAATGCTCTGAGCTATTAGCAGATGTCAGGCAGATGCTCCGCAACTTCGAAGTCCAGAGACTTATATTTACATAGAGATCTCAGGTTTCACCTTAATTGCATGACTTAAGCAGGTGAGTCACTAACCACAGACCTAAGCATGTGGTCTTTGCGCTGTATTCAAGATACTGAGATAAGAGCTGTCTCAGCTCCCTGCTGTCTCCTGAGTAAGGACCTGGGTGTTACCTTGGATTCAATTCTCTACTTTTTTTCCTCATTTAGACGTCTCAAATAGATGCTTGCTTTTAGGTAGGGTGAGTCCAGTTAATAATGCTCTCTGTTTTAATCTCTTGCTGTGTGAGTGAATTCTTCTCTGCAGGAAGTGCCTTCCTGCATAAAGAGTTGGTGTTGTAGCTGTGATGTAGTAAATTTTTTTTTTCAAGTTACCTGAGCCATTACACAAGGGCAAACTTTGTAATCACTGGAATTGAAATAGCTAATCTTGGAAAAAAGGATTTTTTGGATGAACTTCACGCCAACTATGGCCTTATTTCTGTTGGTCTCTGTGGATCTCCTCATTGAAGAAGAACAGAAGTCAGATGCCAGATTCTGTGGAGTGGAGCAGAAGCTTGTAAAGTTACATTAATTATTTGTTCTTCTCTTTAAAGTGATTTTAGAGCCCTGTACTGATTTCTCAGAGTAGAAAGGGGCCTGCTTAAGATTGTTTTCTTTTCTAAAAACAGACACTTCTTAGGGTTTGTTTATTAAAACACAAGCAAAGCCCTGCAGGGATAGTTTAAGTATGTATGATATAATTACGAGAATTGGACTTGGGCTACAACTGTATTTATAAGTCTGAAGGAGTTTCTCATGGACAGAATGAGGGTGTTACAACTGCATCGCAGCTGAAAGAAACCACTATCATAAAAATCCTTGTGGCTTCTTGGCAGGTTCCTACAGGAAGGTGACTCCTCATCAGAAGCTTTTTGCAGTTCCCACAGCCCCAAGTATGTGTACATCTTGCTCTCCTCCTCGCATCCTGGCACAGTTTGTCATGTTTTGTTCTTACTGAAGTAATGGCACTTCCAGCTGTGGATTACTGTCTCAGCAGAAACTGAAGTTTTTATTTCAAGTCAGAGCACTGGAGCATGTCTTGCCTGGTGCAATTTTACATACGAGATAGGGATCATCATGCAAACCATAATGACCTCAAAGCATAGTGCCAGCCGGTGACGCAGCAAGTAAGTTCTTTGCATCCCAGTGTTTGTGAGACAAGACCGGTTAATGCATTAAAAATAATTGTCTGGAGCATAGCCTCTAAAACTCAAAGTGTATTTTGGGGCTTGTACATTGAAACCAGTTGTAAAGATTTAGCAGCTTTGCTGCTTTTATAATGCTTTCGCATCCTGCTACTCAATGGACATGGGAGAGGGGTGGGCAGTGGGCCTGTAGAAGCTGGGTTGCACATGGGGTCCTCTGAAGGGCTCTGCTCTAGCAGTGCCTTGATAAACAGGTCAGAAGGTATGAGAGCTTCCTCCCTGCTGGCTCTTTATGTGTTGGAGGCCATCAACAGCAAACTGTTTCTACCTCAAACCCATTTGTTCTGTTGGGGTGCCAGCCTGCCTTCCAGAACATATCCCTTTTTCTTGGTAGAGTGCTGCAGTAGTTAACAGCAAGTATGTTAAACAAGGAAATGCAACACCTTTTGAATGTTTGCTTGCTGAATTCCTGGTGTAACAATAGTCAGGGTCCTACCATGCTATCTGCCAAAAACAACACTCTGCTGCTGTGAAGCATAGCATATTTGATGCACACTGGGTTTCAACCTGCTGCATGGCCTCTTTCTTGATAAAACACAGGAACATCCTGGAATTAAATTTAGATTTCATTACTTCTAGTTCCACCTCTCTAGTGTTTACTTGCCTGTAGAAGTATGCTGTTCTAGATGGCAGAGAAGAAAGGAATAAACTAATACTAAGCTGTTTAAAGGAAAAATCAGAATGAACGACTTATAGACTGAACATGTGGGTTTATAATATGCCATGTGGTGTCCAGAGTAGGGGAGTGTAAGCTGGACTAGAGTGTTATCTTTTAAAGCAGCTGATGGAGGTAATAAAAAAACACATGGGAAGCTTTGGAAACAGGTATGTGTGCAATTGGTTTCTCTGGATTTGTCTCATGGTTGCTCATTTCTGGCATTAAAGGAAGAAACCTGAGCCCTGCCCTACTGAAGCATTTCTAAGGATTTCTTCCTTTGTGGGTTTTCTGGTATGTAGTAAATACAAGTTCACAATAACAGCATCTCCCCTAGCCAAGGCAGCTCTAGTTGTTTCTTCTCTATGGCCTCAAAGCCTCATGAAACTTCATTACCTTTGTTACACTTGGCTGAAATTGGTCTATGTGTTCAAAAGGAAATACTCCCATCCTTCACAAAATAAGGGCCTGTAAGCCTGTGCTTTTCTAGAAAAAAACAGCAGGAATAACCCAGAGCTAGGATGACTCCTGTCTGCTAGAATATCTAGGTAGGTCAAGGGCTCTGCTTTGATATGTGGCTTTTACTGAACAGGTGCTTCTCATGGGCAAAGCTGGTCTTTGCTGTACAGCATTTTGGGCCAACATTCTTGTGCTCCCATATCTTTGGACCAGATAAACCTGATCTCCTGTGAATACGCTTATGCTGTTCAGTGTAATTGTCCAGCCTGTGTCCAAACAGCCCAGCTGTGGATCAGGAGGGTGTAGCAGCACGTTATTCTATGCTCCGTGTTTCTTACAGTCTTGTCTTTCTGTGCTTCCTGGGCATGATTGAGTGCTGAGAGCACCGCTGCTTTGACTGAGCTGTGCCAGCAGGCTGTGCTGCGGGGCAGCTCTTCTGCAGCCTGCCTGCTCAGCACGCCTCTGGCAGGGAAGCCCCAAAGGGTCTGGGAAAAGAGGCTCTGCCTAATCTTGGGCTTCCTGCTTTGCCTTGGGAGATGCTTCACTTGTGCCTTGGCTGGAGTTCTGTTTGGATTACCAACTAGATTTGAAGGAGAGATCTTTTGCTGGTGCACAGAACTTGCCCCACATCCTGCTGCTCCCAATAAATGGGCTAAAACTATTTGAACAAGAATGTGCAGTCTGTTTGTAAAAGCAAACAACTTATCTTTGTGGAAAGCAAGGCATGTTTTAACCCCTTCAAGCTGGGGCAAGTGAAAGCAATTATGTTGGTTTGAGGGTCGTGAACCTGGGCAAGTGGTTCCTGTTCTTTAGTGGAAGCAGATGAAATTCCCAAAGCTTGTAAATGTAAACACTGTTAAATCCTCCAGCATAACTCCTGTGAAACTAAGGGATGGAGAAAAAAGGATGAGAGGTTCAGTCAGCCTGAAAATGCTCACGTTTAGACCATTCATAGCTAGATGGGAAGGAAAACAGGTCAGGAGATAACCAAATATTAAAATAGAATTCATTGGAGATCTCAGACACTCAGATTCAGATTAGAATCATAGAATGTCCTCAATGGGAAGGGACCCTTAAAGGCTGTCTCCCCTGCTATGAATAAGGACACCAACAGTTCCATGGTGAGAGTTTTCAAAGGTACCTAGCAAGGGGCATTAAAATCCCAAAGTTCTGCTGTGATTTCTCACACGTGCCTCCCTTGCTGTAGGTGCACTCTGGAGAAATTTGCCTCACCTTCGGTCAGTGCAGCTAAGCTGTGTTCACGTACCACACAGACAGGGCCCTAAAAACTTTTCTTACTGAGCATTACCACCTTTTGATTTTGAGCAAAAGTGCGTGTACTTGTGTGTGAGTTTTTCCCATTGAAAGAAAGCACAAGTCTTGTATTGATTTTTTTCTCCTGAGGCTCATGTTGCCATCATAATTTATTTGTTTGCCTTTTTCCAGCTTCAGAAGCAGTAAAGATTTAAGCACTCGTGATTCCGATGCTCAAGTACCTCTTGTGCTGTACCACTGCAGTGGTGGAATGCTTCACTCAGAAGAGCAGATAAGATGGAATGAGAAAATCCTGGGACAGAGTGCCATTATCGTGTTCCTGGGAGAAGGTGGCTTTGAACTAGTTCTCTCCATGTGCCTCTCAGTGAATATTCCCAACAGTGAGAGACAGCAGTACTGCTGTGCATTATAAACCAATGTCTAGAGATTCCAGAGGGGAAAGCTGTCCAGTCTGTAGGATAAAAGTCAGTTCTATCTCGCTGTTCTATTTGTTGGGTCAAAGTGTATTGCAAGGATGTTGTAAGGGTTGAAGGCAGTTATATTGCTGTTGTCTTGTTGATTTGACATGTTTCTAAATGAGGGTCTCTTCTGTAAGAGACGAGTCTGGTCCCCCACCATTTGTGACATGCAGTGAGCATCCCGTTTTGGAGGAAATGGTAAACCTCATTAACACAGCCTCTGCGCCTCTCCTAGATCACACGCAGCCCTGGGGTTTGTTTGTAGCCAAGCAGAAAGCT